TGTGGAGGGGGCGTGGCGCTCAGCTGCAGGGGGAGGGGTGGAGAAGGCTCAGGTGAGCAGTGCCAGGGGAGATGATTGGGCACACCTGGAACCGGTTGGCTAATCACTCTCCCCTCTGTAAAAAGAGTAGTGTGCTGGACCTGGGGAGGACTGGTTTTGGAGAGAGCTGGAGCAGGACTCGCCACCAGCTCGGGATCGGAACCGAAACGGCGCATAAAGAAACAGAGAGCCCTAGCCGGGCGGGTGCGTGAGTGTGTGTGCGTGTGAGAGAGTGTGTGTGCGGGTGGCACACACGCTCAAATAAACCGTTTGAACTAAACACCCTCTGGTCTGGAGCTCCTTCGAGGCACCCACGGTGGCACGACTGCCACAAGGTCATTAGTCATTTTCACCAGTGCTGTCTCTGTGCTATGATGAGCTCTAAATCCTGACTGAAAATCTTCAAACAAGCTATTGCTATGTAGATAGTCACACCGCTGTTTGGGGTCCGAGAGGCAGGTTGATCGTTTGGATGAAGAAATGACTGAAGTTAGTCGGCAAAGATAGACGGGAGCAGAGCAGTCAAAACATATAACTGGTTTTACAGCTGTTTTTAAGGTTCCTGAGTTTAAAGATAAGTCTGTGCCAGTTGAGGGCAAGTCTTGGTGGATTTAGTTTCTAATAGCTAGAATTTTATCACTAAAGAAGCTCATGAAGTTGTGGCTAGTGAGAGCTACGGGAATACTTGACTCAATAGATCTGCAAATTTCTGTCAGCCTAGCTACAGTGTTGAAAAATAACCTGAGATTGTTTCTATTTTTCTCTGTTGTCTGGGATATTAAATCCTGTCCATCCAGCCACTAGACTCCCACGTTCTCCATGCACAGCAAATCTATGCAGCACACACAATATAATTAAACCATCCATCCATCCATCCATCCATCCATTCTCCTCCGCTTATCCGGGGTCGGGTCGCGGGGGCAGCAGCCGGAGCAGGGAAATCCAGACTTCCCTCTCCCCGGCCACTTCGGCCAGCTCCTCCGGGGGGATCCCGAGGCGTTCCCAGGCCAGCCGGGACACATAGTCCCTCCAGCGGGTCCTGGGTCTTCCTCTGGGCCTTCTCCCGGTGGGACGAGCCCGGAACACCTCCCCAGGGAGGCGACCAGGAGGCATCCTGATCAGATGCCCGAGCCACCTCAACTGGCTCCTCTCCACGTGGAGGAGCAGCGGCTCTACTCCGAGCCCCTCCCGGATGGCCGAGCTTCTCACCCTATCTCTAAGGGAGAGCCCAGCCACCCTGCGGAGGAAACTCATTTCGGCCGCTTGTATCCGCGATCTCGTTCTTTCGGTCACTACCCAAAGCTCGTGACCATAGACGAGGGTGGGAACGTAGATCGACCGATAAATTGAGAGCTTCGCCTTTAGGCTCAGCTCTCTCTTCATCACGACAGACCGGTACAGCGCCCGCATTACTGCAGACGCCGCACCGATCCACCTATCGATCTCACGCTCCCTACCCCCATTCGCAAACAAGACCCCGAGATACTTGAACTCCTCCACTTGGGGAAGGACGTCCGCTCCGACCCGGAGAAGGCACTCTACCCTTTTCCGGTGAGAGACCATGGTCTCGGACTTGGAGGCACTGATCCTCATCCCAGCCGCTTCGCACTCGGCTGCAAACCGCTCCAGTGAGAGCTGTAGGTCCCGACTTGATGGAGCCAACAGGACCACATCATCTGCAAAAAGCAGAGATGCGACCCTAAGGCCACCAAGACTGACACCCTCAACACCTCGGCTGCGCCTAGAAATCCTGTCCATAAAAGTTATGAACAGGACCGGAGACATAGGGCAACCTTGGCGGAGTCCAACTCCCACCGGAAACGAGTCCGACTTACTACCGGCAATGCGAACCAGACTCTGACTCCGGTCGTACAGGGACCGAACAGCCCGTAACAAGGGGCTAGGTACCCCATACTCCCGGAGCACCCCCCACAGGATACCCCGAGGGACACGGTCGAACGCCTTCTCCAAGTCCACAAAACACATGTGGACTGGTTGAGCGAACTCCCATGCACCCTCTAGGACCCCGCTGAGGGTATAGAGCTGGTCCAGCGTTCCACGGCCAGGACGAAAACCACACTGTTCCTCCTCGATCTGAGGCTCGACTATCCGACGGACCCTCCTCTCCAGAACCGCTGAATAGACCTTCCCAGGGAGGCTTAAGAGTGTGATCCCCCTATAGTTGGAACACACCCTTCGGTCCCCCTTTTTAAATAGGGGGACCACCACCCCAGTCTGCCAATCCAGCGGGACTGCCCCTGATGTCCACGCGATGTTGCAGAGTCGCGTTAGCCAACGCAGCCCCACAACATCCAAAGCCTTAAGGAACTCCGGCCGGATCTCATCCACCCCCGGGGCCTTGCCACCGCGGAGCTTTTTGACTGCCTCGGTGACTTCAGCCCCGGAGATTAGAGATCCAAACTCCGGATCCCCAGGCTCTGCCCCTCCAACGGAGGACGCGCCAGTGGGATTGAGGAGGTCCTCGAAGTACTCCGCCCACCGACCCACAACGTCACGAGTTGAGGTCAACAGCACACCATCCCCACTGTAAACAGTGTTGGTGGGGCACTGCTTCCCCCCCCCTGAGACGCCGGATGGTGGACCAGAATCGCCTCGAGGCCGTACGGAAGTCTTTTTCCATGGCCTCCCCAAACTCCTCCCACGCCCGGGTTTTTGCCTCGGCGACCACCCGAGCCGCACGTCGCTTGGACTGCCGGTATCCATCGGCTGCCTCCGGAGTCCCACAGGCCAAAAAGGCCCGATAGGACTCCTTCTTCAGCCTGACGGCATCCCTCACCGCCGGTGTCCACCAGCGGGTTCGAGGGTTGCCGCCACGACAGGCACCGACAGCCCTGCGACCGCAGCTCTGGGAGGCCGCGTCATTGATGGAGGCGCGGAACACGGCCCACTCGGACTCAATGTCCCCCGCCTCCCCCGGAACGTGTTCGAAGCTCTCCCGGAGGTGGGAGTTAAAACTAACTAAATAATTAATTAAATAATTAAACCAAAACTGTAAATAAAATAAATGGTTAAGCTTTTATTTTATTTAACGTGGGAGCAGTGCGCGAATGCGCAAGCGTACAGCTTAGAGGGAACATTGCTAGACAGTGAATGTTTTGGATTCTATTGTTTTTTTAAAATCTTGGGTAGAGGGGGCAGGGAGAAATGATGGCATCCCATAATTTCAAAGTAAGTGCATTCTTAGAGAATCCCTTTTGGGGGGAGTTGGAGGTGCGTAGAAAAGAGGACCTGTTTTTGATAGCAATGCACTTTGAGTTGGATGTAACAAAGCAGATTGTGAAAAAAGAGATGAAATCTGTAGTTTCAAACAAATTGGTGGAAGAAGGATTGCTTTCTGTATGCAATTCACCTTGTTTGTAAGTTCCTATTATCAGGACTCCTAATGAGATATTGATGCCTGCTGTGTTAGAGGAAGGACAAAAGGTTGGGAACTTCAGTTCTAATTTCTCACCCCTTCTGTGGTGAACTCAAATCCTTCTTCAAAACAGGAAGCATTAATTAAGGTAAGTTTGGTAAGATTGCAAATGAAGACTTAAGATTAAGCTCAAGCTGGTCAGGCAGAGTTTGAATTCTGTAGGTTGGAGTTGGAAACAGAGAAGGAGAAAGTTTTGAGGCTGAAAAAGTTGGAACTGGAGCTGCAGATTGAAAGGGAGGTCAAGCTGCGCCAACTGGAGTTACAGGATCAAACTTCAAGAAGCTCCATACAGCCTCAAAAAGCCCCTATTCAGTCCATTTCTGCATATTCATCTGCTGTTGGTTGAACAATTGGCTCCCCTGAAAACTCAGGTTCTTTTGATGTGAGCAAAAACATTCTGTTGGTTCCTCCATTTCGGGAATCAGAAGTTGATACATATTTCAACTTTTTTGAATGTGTTGCAGCTTCATTGCACGGGCCGAGGGAGGCTTGGCCTTTGCTGCTGCAGTGTAAGTTGCTGGGAAAAGCTCAAGAAGTCTGTTCTGCTTTGTCTCTGGAAGAAAGTTTAAATTATGATGTAGTAAAGTCTGCCATCCTTGCTGCATATGAACTTGTTCCAGAATCGTACAGACAACGCTTTCGTGACAACAAAAGAACAGTAAATCAGACTTTTGTGGGGTTTGCTCGTGAAAAAGCAACTCTTTTTGACAAATGGATTTCAGCAAGTAGACTTCCTGAATACAGCTCTTTATGTGAACTAATGTTGTGGGAAGAATTTAAAAATGGCCTACCGGAACGCATTGTTGTGTATCTAAAAGAAGGTTTCAACTTTGAAAGAAGCATTTGTGATTGCTGATGAATTTGTGTTGACCCACAAAACTGTGTGTGGGCAGAGACGTGAGGGTTACACCAGAGAACCTCCTTTAAGAAAAGATCATCCAAGCCCAAGGAAAACTTTTGTTTCAATGACTGCTTCTATTGTCATAAACTTGGTCATGTTGTTTAAGAGTGTCCCTCTTTCAAACATCAGAATCAATCATCTGAAGTAAAGCAATCAAAAGGAGTAGGCTTAATTAAAACCCTGCCCACTGCGAAAGGGAATCTGGAGGAGGAGCTTGATCCCTGCTTAAAACCCTTTATTTTGGATGGTGCTGTGTATTTGACAGGAAACTTAGAAGATGAAAAGTTCATTGAAATCTTAACAGATACAGGTGGGTCACGATCTGTGATTTTGGCTGATGTAATGACCGTGGGTGACCATTCCTCCTGCAATGTTAATATTTTAATTCAAGGAATGGAAATACGTTATGTTGTCAGAGGAATCCAGGGGTGTTGCTGTCAGAAAATTAAAGAACTTTTATGTTCCCCAGCTGGACTTGCCAGACACATGTGAGAGCCTCATTGCTGCTCAGAAATCTGATTCCTCGCTGGATAAATGTTTTTCTTTCTCTGAAACAGGAGATAAGAAGGCTTCTTATTTTTCTTGAGGATGGTGTCTTGATGCGCAAGTGGACTGCACACCCAAAAGTACAAGTACAGGCAGAAGGAACACCTTCTGATGACAGTTAATGGAGCACTACTTATCAGATTGTGGTGCCTGTTGAATATTGTCATAATGTATTACCCCTTGCATGAACATTCGTTGTCCGAACATGTAGGAGTTACAAAAACCTACAATAAGATACTCAACCACTTCTTTTGGCCAGGGTTGAAGGATGATGTGGTAGTTTTGCCGAAATGTCAGGTTGCAGGAAAGCCAAACCAGCTTGTTCCAGTTGCCCCTCTTCATCCTATACCAGTACTTGGTGAGCCTTTTGATCATGTCATTGTGGACTGTGTTGGTCTCTCGCCAAGGACAAAGAATGGTCATCAGGTAACCATTGACTGCTATGTGCACCTCGACACGTTTCCTAGAAGCAGTTCCCCTTAGAAGAATAACTGACATTGACAATGTTCTTCACTACTTTTGCTCTTCCAAAAGTAGTGCAGACAGATAAAGGAACCAACTGTCTGTCTAAACTTTTCAAGCAGGTTATGCAGACTCTAGAGATTAAACATGTCTAGTGCATGTCAGTGCTTACCATCCTGAGTCACAAGGAGCGTTGGAACGTTGGCACCAGACATTTAAGGCAATGTTGCAGAAATACTGTTTAGATACTGGAAAGGAGTGGGATGAAGGAGTACCCTTGATGGTGTTTGCTATTCGGGAAGCTAAGCAAGAATAACTTGGGTTCAGCCCGACCGAACTAGTGTTTGGTCATTCTGTTTGGGGACCTTTAAAGCTGCTTAAAGAACAGTTTATGTCAACTTAACATTCAATTTAAACTAGTGTTCTGAATTATGTTTCACAGTTCAGAGACCGCCTCCATAAGGCCCGGTCGGCAGCAGCAGAAACACTCTCCTCAGCTCAGGAGAAGATGAAAAGTTGGTATGATAAGAAAGCCCTTCCCCGATCTTTCAATCCAGGTGACAAGGTTTTGGTACTCCTCCCAACCTCTAGCTCTGTATTATCTGCCAGATTCTGTGGTCCATACATTGTGGATAAGAAAGTGAATGAAACTGATCATATGATTAAGACCCCAGACAGGAATCGAAAAACACGCTTGTGTCATGTAAATATGCTTAAGTCCTTTCAATTCGAACTGATTCTCTTTGTGGCCCTGCAGAGAAGCCTGTTGAATCATCACCACAACAAATGTCATCTCCAGAATCTCTCTCGTGTTATTCCTCAGAACTGAAAGTGGGTGTAGATGAAGATGGGCTTAAACTCTGTGATGCCAGCTGTCCATGGGCCAGAATGCTTGATTCTGAGGTACTTTCTGAGTTGTCCAAACATCTCTCTTACTTGAGCTCTGAACAGAAATTAGACACTGAAACCCTTATAAGTAATCATCCAAAACTTTTGGTGATAACCCATCACGTACTACAGTGTCGGAACATGATATCAATGTTGGGAATACAGTGCCTGTTAAGCAACATGCTTATCCAGTGAATATGAACAAACGGGAACTGATGAAACAGAAAGTAAATTAATTTCTGGAGCATGGTTTGGTACCAAGCCGTAGTCCATGGAGTTCTCGATGCTTGGTTGTACCAAAATCAGATGGAATACCTCGCTTTTACACAGATTTCCCGTAAAGTCAATGCAGTTGTGGCGACCACAAAAGTGTGACATTTGTGTTTATGACTTGAAATTGTTAACAAAAGTTGTGTACTTTATTTTGGAGAAGAGTCTTCCTTTATTTTTTTATGTGCTTTGTAATATTTACTCCACGCCAGCAGGGGGCGGGTGGCGGTTTTAGTGTCCTGCTTGTATTTTCCCACATTGCTGCATGACACTTGAACTGAACAAGCCGTTTCCTCGTCTTTCTCCTGTTCTTCAGGTGGGTAAATATAAAAATAGGTTTTTAATCCAGTAATTAGACATGCTGGAACATATTTGGGATATCTGTGAATGTATTTGTAATAGTTATGAGCTATATTAGTTATTCAATTTTTGACTTTGTGTCGTTTTGTTTGACGAAAGTAACTACGCACGGTGTACATGCTAACGTTAGCCATTAGCCAAGTCTGTTTAATACATGCGCTTCACCCACTTCAGTTTATGTTGGAAAAACCGTTAGAAACTGAATAACTCAATGCCTATTTTTCTGTTTTGACTTTTGTAAGGTCCCCACCACCAGTATTAAAATAGTTCTTTTAACATTAGGATTCAGGATGCTAAAAAATGACTTTAAAAATGATGTTTTGTTTTATTAAGGATTTAGTTTATTGAAGGTCAAATGCAGTACTGTTTTAAGTTAAAAAAGTAGCTGGTTAAGGTAACCACTGTCTAATGTGTTTCATTTTAGACAAATAGCTTAGAAAGCTAATAAGAATGAGTGGATATATGTTTAGGAAAGAG